TATAATCTGAACATATCCTACTTGTTTGGGGGGAATAGCCTACGTTTTTTTCTGGTGACAGGGAAATAAGACCAGCTTGACAGAGCTCCCCAGGGACAGCCGGACTCTGTCCAGCACGGCCTTGCGTCAGGCCGGGTCTCTCCCAGAAACACCTGCTCTGGGGCCCAGCCGAGGGCCCACTGGACCCACAAAGGAACCACTGTCCTCTGGTAGGTGACATCATCTGCTGCCAGGATGAGGTGAGGCCAAGAGGAAGCTGCCCGTCCTGCCTGCCTGACCGTTGACACCGCTGCCGAGGACCAGGTGACATCATGCTGGCCTTGGGGGCTGCACTGAAGTCCAACACCTCAGTTCCACACCTCAAGCTGTGGCCAGAGGCCTGGGCACCGGCAGGGCTCTGATGGGCAGTGGCGGGCAGGAGGCCGAGGAGGCGGCCATGCATCTGGCCCCTGTGTCTGGGAGAGATGCAACAGCCCACGCCTGGCACACAGTAGGTGCTCAGTAGGTGGGCACAGTGGTTGTTGCTCTGTTGATAGCCCTTCGTTGCCCCAAGCCCTCCATTCCTAAAACCCAGCATCCTTCCTGGAGTGCCCCAGGCCCAGAACGCCCCACCCACCTCCCTGAAATCCCCTCCCCCATAAGCCACACACAGCCTGCCTCAGGGCCTTTGCACTGCTGTGCCCATATCCTCCATGGCTCACTCCTCAGTCACACAGGTCTGCTCCAGTGACCCTGCCTGGGAAGGTGTCCCTCAGTGCTCTTTCCAAACTACACTCCTCTCCCTGGGCCATGCCCCACTCTCCCTCAGAGCCCCAACAACTACCTGAGAGCATCTTTTCATTCATTAGTTTATTGGTTTCACGACGTGCCTCTCTGTACCCCAGAGCCCTGCAGGGACATGGCCCTGTCTCTCATTCTCTACCAAGCATGGCCCCTGGCCCACCCTTTACAAGAACCCCAGCTGCCCTGGGCTGCAGTCCCAGTGTCAGCTCTTGGGAGCTGTCACCGGGGCCCCATCACCGATCCTCTCTGGTCTCAATTTACCCAAGAAGTGAGGGAGGCGAGGCTGGGCCAGCCCACGCTGGGAGGCCGGGCTCCCTGAGTCGCGGTGAGGCCTAAGCCTCCAGGAGGACGTGTCTCCCTCCTGACAACACCAGCGCCCCTGGGTGGCCTCCCTCAGAGAAGGGGCCTTCGCAGAGGTCACCGAGTCAAGGACACGGAGACTCCTGGGCCGTCCAGGTGGGCTGGAACCCAAGGACAAGTGTCGTGTACCAGGCAGGACGGCCAGGGTGTGCCCACCCTGCACTCCAAGTGCTCTCTACCTGCCGGAAAGCGCGTGGGGGCTGTGGCGTGTGCCCGGGGCGGGCCGAGGCCCTCCAGCTGTCTGAAGCACTGGTGCCAGTCCTGGACGCGGGGCGGGACACTCCCGCTTTGCCTTCCTCTGAAGGGCCAGTGCACAGCCCAGGAGCCACCGCTTCAGTGCTGAGTCCTGGGGTGGGCCACAGCCCTGGTTCCAGAGAGGTTGCTGATCGCAGCTGGGTGGCCCCAGGCCCCTGACTTCACCTCTCTGGTTCCTCAACCTTCAGATTCCTCAACCACAAAGTATGGGCGACACCCCATCTCCCAGGACGGCAGCGTGGGGTCCAGAGAGACCAGCTCCTTCCCAGTGGGAGCTCCATAACGCGGGACCTGCTCCAGCTACGGTCACTGTGCCCTGTACCCGTCACAGTGGCCCTCGATCCCTGTGGGTCCTGCCTCTGGGGTTCAGCCAACCTCAGCTGGAACATCCAGACAGATAACTGCTCTGTCCAGGACACCGGGGGACTTTTCTCTTGTTGCTGTTCCTGGGTGACAGAGTGTGACTACTGCTCACCCAGCAGTGACACGGCACAGGGGTTAGTCACCTAGAGGTGAGGAACGTGGAAGGCGGGACTGAACAGCAAGGCCTGGCGGGCCACCTGGTGATTTGGGACCCCAGGGACCCCACTTCCTGCTCTGACTCCACCCTGGGCCTCGGGGTGCTGCATTGTTCCTGGTTCTGGAAGATTCTGTGGGCCTCTGGGGGAGCCCCCCGGTCTCCAGGCTCCCCTCTCTGCTCCGAGGCGGCTCCGATGCCTCTTCCTGCTTTTGTTTTCCTTCCCCCCTTTATTCCCTGGTCACGGGGTGGGGGTGGGGGCAGGCCGTCAGCAAATGGCTTCAAGGCTGACCCTGGAAGCCCCCTCCAGGCCCCCGCTGCAGGCCTGGGGAGCGCCCTCGCTGGGGTGGACCTGAGCCCCTGAGCCTGGAGCACAGAGTGGAGGGCTCAGGCCGTCCCGCCATCTCCAGCCATAGGTACCGCAGTGGCACGTCCCTAGCCATCAGCCGTCCCTCCCATAAGACAAATATTATCTGAAGGCTCTCGGGGAAAGGGGCGACTGCGGATTTCCAGCTCACTGGAGATCTTGGAAGGAATGAGAGGTTTGGTTGTCACAGGAGCTGACTTTGAAGGCACGTGTGCCCCAGGCTAAGTGCAGCCACCACACCCACCGCCTCAGTGCACAGCCTCCCCGTTTCACAGAGGAGGAAAGTGGGGCACAGAGAGGGCAGGAGCCCGCCCTGGGTAACACAGCAGGGAAGGGGGAGAGCGGGACTCGACCCCACGCAGGAGGACCCGGGGCCTGGACCACTTCTCTGCAGCAGGCAAGTGCTCCTGTCCTGACTCTGCCCTCGCCCTGCCTGGGTGGGACACCTGGTGGCCTAGGGCAAGGAGGCCCGGTAAGTATGCACCTACTGTGTGCCAGCAGCATGATGAGCGCTAGGACAGCCTTACAGCCAGCCCCAGCGGAGGACTGAGGCTTAGGGACCTGAGCCAGGGCGTGGCCAGGCTGATGCAGTGGGGCCCGGGCCCCAGTGGACACCAACTGCCAAACAGGCCAGGCAGAGCCAGGCTGACTCGGTAGGAGCCATGCTGTGGGAGGGGTGCTGCCCAACAGGGGACGGCCGGGGCCACCTGCTGCCACTCACTCACTCAGTCTGTTCCCCAGGGCAGTGATGCCGGGATTCGGGTCAAAGACCAGGTCAGGTGGCACCCTAGGGCGGGGCAGGGGCGGTCAGCACCTGAGCCTGTGTGTCAGCCGTCCCCGGCCCTTGACACAATGTCACAGGAACAAGCCTAATGGAGAGGCAGAGACACAGAGGCCCAGAGATGAAGCAGAGAGAACCAGAGACACAGAGAGAAAGACAGAGACAGAAGGAATGAGAGTCCTCTCCCTGGGCTGGGCCACCTGGGCTGGGGGCTCTGGCTCATAAATGGAAGCCCCACTAATCTGCCAAGGGCCACAAGGAGCACAGAGCTGTGAGAGGAGGGGTCCTGCCACAGAGACACATGTCATAGGTGCTCAGCTTCTGACTGGGGTCCGTACCTTCCTACTCTGGTTGCTGTGTGACTCGGAGTGGGTCACTGCACCTCTCTGGCCAACAGAGGGGATGGTGAATCTCTGCACCCACCAGGGCACCTGTGAGCTCTCAGCAACCCCAGGGGCTGCTCAGGGCTCCTTCTGTCAGTCCTGCCACCCTTCATGATCGAGGGTGCCCATGGGAAGGAGGTGCCCAAAGGGGCTGGCTAGGTCCTCGCCTGTCCTCAGATGCTCCTGCAAACCGAGCCAACACAGACAGGGACAGAAGTCTCTAGGCGAAGGTGCCCAGCTTTCTTACTAAGTTCAGGCCTGAGTGTGATGTGGGTGTCCCTGGGGTTATGGAGAGGGTTAGAGAGACCATTTGCCAAGAGCTGGGTGGGGAAGGGCCCTGAGGGGAAGATCAGAACCCGGTGTGGCCCAGTCCCTGCCACTCACTCACTGTGCATCCCCACAGGTGTCTTTCCCTCTCTGGGCCGGGTTCCAGTTCACCAAATCATCATTAGGGTCCTTAAGATTGCTCTGCACCAACTCCCAGAGGCTGCAGCCGGCTTGATAATCACTGGCCACTGCTCCAATGGCTGCCCACGCCCTGCCTGAGGAATGGCGGAACCCCCTGACCTGGCCTGTGGCCTCGGGCTGGGCCCCCTCACTCCACCTACCACCGGGGCCCCCACAGGCCCTCTTCTCTCACTTTTGCTCCATGACAAGATGACCAAAGCCCCAACTCGACGTGCATGTGACATGGACACTTGGTCATCCAGGGAGGGTGAGAGGGGATGAAGCAGATGCCAACTAATCCTCCCTAAAAATAGGGACAAGGAGCATTTGTGTCAGGGCTGGATGTCTGCACGCCAGCTCCGGGGTGGCCAGGGCCCTGACAACCTGAAACTGTCTGAATGTCCTGACCAACTTGGGGTGTGAGGGATCCCACCACCGGGCAGTCACCCTGTGAGCCTCCTTCCGGGACACAGCAACAGGAAGGCTCACCCTGCAGGGTTCTGATTGACAGCTGTTCTGGAAGCACCAACTTCCCGGCTGATGCTGGGATCCCTCCCTGGGAGGCCTGGAGGGAGGAGCTTCTGCGGCTGCTTTAATATTTTAAAAAACAGAATAAGCTTACTATATCCGGCGGCTCCGAATCCGTCTGCCTTTTCCTTAGGGATGAAAATCTCTGTTGGCTGCGAGCAGAGAAGCGTCGGAAAGACTCCCGACTGCGGGAGGCGAGGTGTCGGAAGGAGGAGGTGCGCTTGAAGGGGGTCCTGCTGGCGGGCTCCCGGTCATGGCCCACAGTGGTGGTCACTAAGTTGAGGGCCTCCTGGAAGGACCTCCTCATGGAGCCCATCCACTGGGCCATGTGGCTCTGGGCCACTGTGAGTTTGTCTCCCAGGTAATCCATGGGGCCGGCTGGGGAGGACGGCTGAGCCCCGGTGTCCTCTCCCCTTTCTGGCTCTCTGGTCGCTGGAGAACTTCCTGGCTGGCCCCACAGAAGAGCCCGCAGCTCCCCGCAGCCAGACTAAGGTTGGACGCAGTGCCGGCTGCAGAGGCAGCGGCTGGAGGGCCGGGCTGGGGAGTCGCCCGCCCGAGTCGCTGTCCAGTCCACTTTCCAGTTCGGAGCGCACACCCAGCTGAGATCCAGGGCGTGACAGTCCCCCAGAGTCGGGGAGGAGGGGTGCGGGCTCTCTGCTCCTCACTTTCCTGCAGGTAGGTGGCCCCTCAGAAGCTCGCCCTGGAGGGTCCCAGAGGGCGGGCTGCCCCCCGCCGCTGCCCCAGCCCCGCCGCACGCCGCTGCTGGGCTCGGCTCACCTGACGCGGGCAGGTCTCCGTCCTCTGGCTGGAGATCCCAAACCTGCGGGCCAGCGGGTCGCTAGCTCATTTCCGGAGGCAGCCACCAGGGCCCCCGGGTCCCCTGGCTGAGCAGCCCTGGATGACATCAGCCCCCGCCTCGGCTTAGCGAGGGGCTTCTGGGCCCAGGAATGCAGGAGGGGCCTCGGGGAGGCGGCCGCCCAGGGAGCTGGCAACCGCCCCCATTTCTTTTTTCCCCTAAGTCCCAACTCGCTGGCTGTCCCCAGAGGCCAACGGTGACTTCACGTGCCTGACAGCCTACCCGCCCTGTGCCCTCACCGCAGGCGCACACGGAAATGCGGCGGCACGGGTGTGCATGTGTGTGCACGTGTGCGCGCGTGTGTGGGCATGTGTGCGAGATCCGCCGCCGGGAGGCTGCGCCTGCCGGGAACAGCGTCCGCCCCCCGGGCCCGGCAGCGCCTCCGAGGCCCTGGTCTGTCTCCCTCCCCGGCGCGTGGGTCAGTTTCTCGAGGCGTCCTCCCTCTCCGGCAGGGTGCGTCCTCCCCTGGCCGCTCCGCTCGGCGCTCTCCAGCCTGCCCAGCTTGCTCCGCCCTCCCCGCCCAGGAGGCCACGCCCAGCCAGGTGAACAACTCCTGAGGTTCCCCCTCGGAAGGGCCTGGCGCGGGCTGCACTCCGGCACCCACCGCAGGGTTGCCATGGCAACCCAGGGGTGCCGCCGCATCTGCCCCGTCCTGGGGAGGCGGGCTGGGCGAAGGGAGCAAAGGGAGTGATTCACGGCTTAAGAGGGGTCACGTGGGCTCTCCGGGGTTTAACCCGTGTGGAGCTGGAGCTGCAGCATTGGGAGGGGGCGGGGAGGGAGGAGAAGGCAGCTGGCTGTAAAGGCTGCGGGTGGGGTGCAATTCCAGGGCTGCAGGGAAGGGGGCAGCAGCAGCCAAATTCTGGATGGTCAGGTTCACCTGTTGAGTTTTCTTGCCCCCAGCCCTGCCCAGCACCATCGCTCAGAGGTAGATTCACTTGTTCAAGACCACACGGCAGAGCTCCCACCAGGGCACACTGGAGCTGCAGCCTCCCCATGTGGCACCTGGCCCACAGCTGGGCTAGCTGCACCGTCAGGGGTCAAACACCAAGTCCAAGGCTGAAGTGCAGGTCAGCCCGGCTGCTGCCCGTGTTCTTTCCACCACCACCTCACCTCAGCTCTGAACAAACATTTGCTCTCCAGAGGCGGGTCAAAGGGCCCAGCTGGACAGCTCACCACAGAAGTCCAGGACCTGGTGGCCAACGAAGCGCCTCACCCTCTGGATTCCCCGGGCCCAGGCCTGCTCATACTCCCTCATTCTTTACTCCTCTGCTTAATGAGCACCTGCAGCGGGCCTCCTCTGACCCAAGCACTGCACACGGACACCAAGAATGGTGCATCCCGTCTGGCACAGCGTGGCCCAGGACCAGGCTGGTGGGGGGTGTTTACTGACCGGGTGACCCCCACCACCAGGACAGTCAGTCCCAGCAGTTAACTCATGATGTGTCCATTTGACAGCGGGAGGAGACCGAGGCCCAGAGAGGAGAAGCCATCCACCAAGGCCCAAGGCCACACAAGGGGACATGCAGCCTCCAGGACAACCCCCGTGTCATCCCCTATATTCATGCTCTGCTGGGGTCCCCGCCCAAGGAACCCCGGGGACTCTGTGATGATGTTTGATTCCTACGCCTGGTTGTCCATGGCACCCAGCTCCCAGCTCCTCTTGCTCTGGGGTGGTGCTGGGGCAGCCAGTGGCCGCCATGTTGTGAGGCTGCTCAAGCAGCTCCACCTTGTGGAGACATCTGTGTGCAGAGGCTCGGAGGCCCCGGCCCTCCGCCTGCAGCACAGCCAGCCACCTGAGGGGGCACCGTGGAGCAGGTCTGCAGCCCCAGCCAGCATCCTGATGGCAACCTCCTAAGAATCCCAGAGGCTGACCACCCAACCCGAAGGCCCCGGCTTCCAGTGTAATGCACGCGGTGCTGGTGCCCAGGACTGTGCCTACCCCTGAGGAAACTCACGGTTGAAGGGGGTGAAAAGGGGCGGGTTATAAGGGAAGGCGAGGGCCTGTCCCCGCACCGCCTGTCCTGCATGTTAGGAAGCAGCAGGCTCGGGGCAGACACCACGCCACAGGCCCCCACCTCACCTTCCCAGGCAGCCTACCCGGTCCAGGGCTTCTGACCTCCACACTCGGCCCATTTCCCTGTCAGAGAGGGTCCACCAGCTGGCGGTCACTTCACAGCCTTCCCTCCCCAGGCAGCCGGGGACTTCTAGGGTGGGACAGACAGCAGCCCCCCACCCACACACACACACACTAGGGCCTCAGGAAAGCCACACCAGAAATATAGGGAGAGTTGGAGGGGACAGAGCTTTGTGAAAGTCCCTGAGGTGGGAAGTCTGGGCACAGTAGATCAGACATATTTAAAATGATCCTGCCCAAGCGGATGCACACGACTGTCGTCTCAGGGCCTCAAGAGGCTGAGGCAGGAGGATCACAAGTTCAAGGCCAGCCTCAGCAACTTAGCAAGGCCCTATCTCTAAACAAAAAGTAAGAAGGGCTGGGATGTGGTTCAGTGGTAGAGTATGTGCTCTAGCATATGCAAGGCCCTGGGTTCCAAACCCAGTGCTGAAATTAAAAAAAAAATAATAATAATAATGAAAAAACCATACCGGCGTTGGCAAAGCCCTGGTGAGTCAGACATACTCACACACGTGGAAATGAAACTGGTATCTGTTTCCTACAGGAAGTTCAGTGCCCAGGGTCAAAGCCCTACAGACCTTGGCCTTCCAGTTAGTAGTGTGTATGAGGAGTGCAAGGCCACAGAGGACCGAGGTCTACAACTTACTTTGAAGAGCACTTTTGTAACATGTGCCATGGGTGGCCGAGTATAGAGCACAGTGTTAGCAACGGCATGGCCTAGCTGCTGGGCAAACACGTGTGCCCTGTATGATTTTTCTGTATGTTTGATCATTTTTATGATGAAAGTTTGGGGCTGCGTGTCTTCTGACCCTGCAGTTGATGATCTGACTCCACACACAGGAATCTGCCTTTGGAAGTGAAAATGGGTGCAGAGATGCGCACTGCAGCTGGGGGAGGGGCGCACACCGGTCATCCCAGCAGCTCAGGAGGCTGAGGCAGGAGGATCCCAAGTTCAAAGCTTCAGCAACAGCAAGGCCCTAAGCAGCAGTGAGATCCTGTCTCTAAATAAAACACAGAATAGGGCTGGGGATGGGGCTCAATGGTCAGTGCCCCTGAGTTCAATCCCCGGTACCAAAATTAAAAAAAAAAAAAAGATGCTCATTACCATCCTGTTTATAATTATGAAAAACTAGTAAAAACGTATTTTTTCAACAAAAACAGGACTTGCTCAGTGCTGTGCCAGAAGTAAAAGAAAGAAAAGATCAGTCCCATTGATGGAGGCCTTATTTACAGTATGGAGTCTGTGCTCGTCTGGCTTTTTGCATAAATTCTCATTTTATAAAACAGTGAATTAGGATATTCTTTGATTACTGACTTTTTGGTGCCCCCTAATTTTATGCCCTCAGTGAGAGCCTCCCCCAGGCCCACCATGACCAGCTGGATCCGTCAAACATCAAATGAAGGGTTTGGATACCTGTCACTAGTTCTTATTAGCTGTGTGAACTAGAGTAAGTCACCTAACCTTTCTGACTTTCCAGAGATGAAATCATGGAGCTTATCGCTGTCGAGGAGGGAGTCAGACTCTCCCGGACTCAGACCCTTTTCTAGAAGACACCAGCTTCCTGCTCTGTGAGTGTTGGTTCAATAATACGTTGAGCCAGATGTGGTGGCACACGCCTGTCATCTCAACGGCTGGGAAGGCCGAGGCAGGAGGATCGCAAGTTCACAACCAGCCTCACCAACTTAGCACGGCCCTGTCTCTGAATAAAATATTTAAAAAGGGCTGGGATGGGACTCAGTGGTTAAGAGCCCCTGGGTTCAACCTCTGGTACCAAAATAAGTAAATAAATACATAAAATAACGCATTGATCTTGCTGACAGTGACTGCCACGGCCAGCGACTGGCCAGAAAGAACAAAACCCAGGTGCCCTGTTTGGAGGATGTTTGAACGCCTCGAGGCAGAACTAGCTCCTGTGCAGCACTCACTCAGCCTGTGGCCTGCTTTGTCCCCTCCCCACCTGTGGCCCTGGCTTCCCCTCTGCATTCTCCTGAGAGCTCCCACCCTGACCGCTGAATGGGAATCTCTAGCTCAGTCGAGAACCTGACCTGAGACACGCCCCTTTAGCTGCCCACTGTGCACCAGGGTCCCTGTATCCTGGGTCCACCCCTGTATCACACCATCTGCTCCTCCCAACGGGGCGACCGGCTTGCTCTCTGATCAGGGCTCTCACTTGCAGACGGGAACACTGGGGCACAGAGAGGTCAAGTAACCAGCCCAAGGTCACAGAGCTATTAAGGGAGGGAGTCTACCACTTCCAGCCTTGCGTCTGTGACAGCACCGAAGATGTCCTGGCCTCTGCTTGGTCTGTCTGCATGTGGACAGATGTCTGGGACAGCAGAGACCGGCCTCCCTGCCTCCCCTGGCTTCCTTTAGGAACAATGTGGTCTGAGTCGACTATAAAAAGCGTTGCTCCCCAAAAACTGGGGCAGCCCAAGCTGCTCCCCCAGAGGGCTTTTTTCTGCAAGCTCCTCTGTTCTCTCCAGGAAACTCTTGGGACGTTGCTGGGCATCAAAAAGGAAAGCGAACCATCCCTTTCTTATATAATTAATCCCAAAAGCAGCACAGACGCTGCCAGGTCCCAGAAAGAGAGGGGACCTTCTCCACCAGGGTCGGCGGGCGGCGGAGGCCACCGAGGGCAGAGGGGTCGGCAGGTCGCTCCTTCAGTCAACAAACATCCTCTGAACGGGGACTTTGTGCAAGGTCTGAGCTGACCCTGGGGGACCTACCATCCCCAAAGATCTCAGGGTATCGCTCTCATCTCAACCGTTAAAGGAGAAGGGGGTCCCGCCAGACCACCTCCGACCCGGGTTACACCATTTTCTCCCCCAAACTGAATACAAACACATGTACTTTCAGGAATTTCTGATCCGGCGGAAGAAAGAGCCGGGGGCGAGGGGGAAGTGGCCCCCCAAGAAAGCGGGAGGTGGAGGAGCCAAGAACAAAGGGGAGATGAGCATTCACTGGGGGCTGGCGACTGGGAGAGGGTTTTGGAGGATGAACAGGAGGACGCCGAGGAGTCTGGGAGGCAGGACAGCATGTCAAAGGCGGGAGGGGCGGCGTAAGGCCTGAACTCTGGGGTTTGGAAGGAGCCCTGTCCATGCAGCGTGATCTCCTCCCCTCCCTCCTCTCCTCCATCTCTCTAGCTCCCAACACGACTTCAGCCATTTCCAGATCTCTCCCAGGAGGCCTCACTTGGACAACCCTCTCCACATCCTGCTTCTTAAGATGAGCCAGGGCAGGTCTGTGGGCCGGTAAATAGGCCACCGTGGTGCGGATGGCGGAGGTGGCAGGTGGAAACAGTAGCAGCTATTAGCTGAGCAGCTGCCACGTGCCGGGAACTGGTCACTCACACCTCTCACCTCGGAGGGCCCTCTGGGACAGTCCCGTGGTAACTACCCCCACTTTCCAGAGAGGACAGTGGGGTTGGAAGAGCTGAAGGGACGTCTGAGGCCACTCAGGGACAAGAGGGCTCTGGGAGTGGAACCTGGGCTCAGGTTCCAGACAGAGCCAAGCTGTACCCCCGGAGACTCCCAGAGCCAATCCTGCCCGACCCCTGGCTCGAGGGCAGCGAGTGGGGGCAGGGGTGCCCTCGCAGGGACTCGCCCAGCGGCACACCCTCCCCACGTGTCCCTGTCTTGCCAGTGGTTGGAGACAATTCCCTGGCCCGCGTGGGAAGGGCTGGTGCGCGAGGCCAGCTCAAACCCCTGGTGCAGGATGGACAGAGCAACGTGGTGCAGGACCAACCGCTCAGGGCTGCCCTCCAAGGCTGGCACCCCGGGCCCGAGTGTGGCTTCTCTCCACAGAGCAGTGTGAAGGCCTGGGCAAGGGGACGATGTCGGTCTGCCCCCGGCATGCTGTGACAACACAGGGGGTCCCGTGCGTGAGAGCCCTCGATGCTGCCCATTGCAGTGTTCAGAGGTCCCAGGACCAAGACACCCGGCGGGGCTGGACCCGGGCCGCCCCTCAGCTAGCCAGGGAGACGGCCCTGTGCAGGGCTGTGCCAGGCCCCAGGGACCTCGGGGACAGGTGCCCTCTGACAGGACGTGCTTCACGCCCACCTGCCTCCAGCTCAGGTCCACCCTGGGCATCCGGGTGAGCTGCCCCCTGGTCACACCCGGCCGTCCCTCATCCAGATGCCCACTTGGCTGTCCCTCCCTCCCTCCCTCACTGCTCAGGTCAGGTCCAGCTCCCTGGCCCTCCCTGCCTCCATCTGGACACCTGCCTCCCTTTCCCTGTGCCGTGGGCCATCTCTGGGCTCCCTGCCTGCCTATGTCACCCTCACCAAGTTGCTTCGCAGCTGGGCTGTGACTCAGTTTGCCCAGCTGTCTCCGAGGACAGCAGCTGCCCACTGCGGGGAGCCTGGGGAGGGCTGCGGCTTGGACCCAGGCTCAGAGCATCCCTCTCCCGAGGCTTGTTTCCAAGGCAACAGGAAAAAGCCTGCTGGTGGGGGACGCCTGATCTCGAGAGTCAACCCTGGGTTATTTATAAACCAGGCCCCTGACGTCTCCTCTGTCTCTTGTGTCACATTCTTCCTCAATCATCGGAATGACCCGACGTGTCTTTAATTGACCTTGGGGGGAGCAAAGACGGTCAGCCAGCCAGGAGATCTTTCCAGAAATAGCCCTGTCCACACGAGGGAGCGACCGCTGTGTCCTGTGACTGGTGAGGCCTGGGGGTCGTCCCAACCTGGTCTGACCAGTAGAGATCCCGAGCTCCTGGGAGGTGACCCATCTTGCCTGAGGCCAGGGCTTCAGGGGTGACACCCCCAGGTACCCGCTGCCTGCTGGGTGGCGGTCTGGGAGCTCACAGCACGCTCCTCCAGAGCAGTGGAACCTCCACGTTTTCGCATCAGTGAGGGTTGGAAAGCAGGACATTCTGGGGACGGCAGATGGGATCTGTCTGCCGCGCTGGCCAGGGGCTTCCCAGGAGCACCCCGCGACTCCAAGGGTCCCGTGACGGGCAGAGACGAGAACCAGCGGGGGCGCCTTTCTGTGCCCAGCCCCACCCTGCGGACCTCCGTGAGCATTTCGTTGAGAACCTACTATGCACCGCGCACCGTGGCTGCTGCTGGGAGGCCACGAGCCCAATCCCCGCCCGGGCGCTTTCCCTCCGGAGGACGGAACCATTGCCAAGCGGTCACTCCCAAGGGCCTACTGTGCGCCCTGCTACCTCCGTGACAGGACACCTCAGTGCCGAGGACTGACTGGCCCTGAAGTCTCATCTTGGAGACTCAGCCTCCATGCCACAGGAGGCTCGAGAGGCCTTTGCGCCCTGAGGGCTCAAGGGCACATGAATGCAGCTGCAGAAGGCGCCTGCGGCTCTCCCTCCCTCCCGCTCTCGCCCTGGCCACCCGCCATGCGGCGAGAGGGCCCTCACCAGAGGCCAGAGCCTTGACCTTGGACTTCCCAGCTGCCAGAAGCAGGGCAGAATAAACTTCGCTCTTCATAAACCACCCAGCCTCGGGCCCCCGGCTACAGCAGCACCACAGAGGACGCAGCCTGGGAGGTCGTGATGCATGGCACAGAGGGACACCAGGCTCTGACTGAAGAAGGCACTAGGCTGTCAGGTAGCGGGGGCGGGGTGGGGCAGGGCCTCCAAGCAACCCACCCGCTGCCCAGTGTGTCAGCTGGATGGCCAGGGGCAGAGGGTGTGGTCAGGTGGGGAAAGGCCTCGGCTCACCAGGCGGAGAGCACAGGAAAGGCCACTCAGACCCCAGGCCCCTCTAGCCACCTGCACTGGCCTTAAGAAAGCCCAAGAGCCCAGGGGAGCATACGGCAAGGCCTGGGGCTCACGGCTCCACTTGCCCACGAAAACCTGACACCCACCTCCCAGTTACGAAGCTGCCCGCCCCGGGTGACGGCTGGAGGGACAGCATCAGATTGCTGCAGGGAGCTCCCGGCTTGAGGCCACAGATTTTGAAAGACAAAGCTGTAAAGAGGAATGGGCCTGCCCAGGCTGAATCAGCCCCCAACCACATGCTGCTGCATCAAGGTTCTGTCTCCTCAGCATGGACGGTGCGCCAGGCCCCAGGTTACCTCATGTCATCCTCAAAACCACAGTTTAGGACAGGGCTCCCAGCACCAAATGCCTGCATTCCAGTTCCCTGGTGTGTGACCCTGAGAAAGTCCCCCACTTCCCCCAGCTCAGCGCTAGGCCGGCAATGGGCTTGCTAGGGCACAACCTCTCTAAACTTGTCCGCACCGCAGGGACTTTGCACATGCTGCTGCCTCTGCTTCAAACACTCCTCCCAGAGCTCCACTTGCCTTTCCAGCCAGGCATCCACCCAGTCTCTGCCGCATCCCTCTGCATCTACCAGGAAGGAAAGACTGTCATCTTTATTTATAGCACCCCGTCTCTCACTGGGACACATACTCCCGGAGGGCACACACGGTGTTCTTATTCGCTGCCGGTGGCTCGTGCCTCAAATGGTGTCTGGCACAGATCAATATCTGTGGAGTAGCTCAAGGAATGAACGTGTGAATGGACCAATAGAGAGTGAGCGGGGGACGAGCCAAGGCCACGCAACACGTGGCAGGCTCCCCCCAACACCGCGATGCCAACACCCGCTGGGGGCTGATGGGGGACCCTGCGGCCCACAGCCCAGGGACACTCAGGGACACCCAGTGCTGGGTGCTGACGCCCTCCGCCAGCAGGGACCCCGCAGCGGGCGTCTCCTCGGAACCCCTCCCTGCGGAAAGCGCATCTGGAGCCCGGATCCTGGGGGGTCCACAGCCCACGCCCCCCCCCCCGGTCGCCATGGCGACGGACATGCCCAGCGCATCCCTGCCTGGCTCTTGCTC